CTCGAGGTGCAGGCCTCACAGTTCACATCATAAGGAAAATGACCTCTGGATCTATGCACTTGCAAAGCCACACTTCGCAGAGGTATCCTATCTGAAACTTCTGCACCTCCAGGCGGTTCCGGGGTTTTAGGTGGTTCAGCACCTTGAGGCTTCGGAAGCGGACTCTCTTTTTCTCCTCTCTCTTCACTCTCTGAAGAACGTGGCATGTCACTATCGAGTTCTAAGGGCTCAGCTTGCGTCCCCTTACCGGGGAGGGGCAGTCCACGCACAACTCTCAAGTGGCTGTGCTCAGAAGTGGATCTGCTCCCTTTTTCATCATCGCCCTTTCTTCTCAACAAACAACAACCACACACACTCCAAGCACAACACCATGCCATGCACACCAACAAGCTCCACAAGTTCCTGTCGAGACAAAGGCCCAAGCACATGGCCTTACATGCGAACTTCAAAGAGGCTTTAAAACCTGAGCTCCAAGTTGGTTTCACAACGTGCCTGCTAAAGACCAGAGTACATTCTACATCAACTCGAACATAACAGAAACGAGTCTTGATTCGCACTCGGACTCCTTTACGACGATGGTGTAAACGGTACTTTCGGGATACAAGTTGAGGGTAGTCACCAACTCCTCGAAACTTTTTCAAACACATCTTCAAGAATCGAAACCCTAACCAGAACGAACCCCCCAAGAGACTTGCTATCACATAGATCGCCAAGCAAGCGAAAACATCCAATGCTTCTCCTGGCATGCAAAACAAAGCACTCCTGGCCGGCAGGGGTCTGTCATGACTCATGTTCAGGAGGTTTGGGTTCGTGGCGCTTCTGAGGTTCACACTTGAGGGTATTTCGGATCTTTGAGGGTACTGCTTAGAAGATCGACGTTCTTTCGGGCTAGTTAAACGCGGACTTGAGGGCATTTCGGATCTTTGAGGGTACTGCCGAGAAGATCGAAGTTCTTTTGGGCTTCTCTTCAAGGGACCTTCAAGCTCGCACACTCCTAACCAAGCAAGTCTCACACAGCAACATGTCTGTTCAACTGCTTCACTCATGCTTCTTTCCAAATCCAAACAAGCCTGAAAGACACGGTGTTTTTCCAACGCGCAAGACATGCGATCGGCGCGTTCAGAAACAACTCCACAAAAGGAAGAATTCCGCACAGCCTTTAAGGCCTTCACTTCTTCTGTCCAGGGGAAGGAAGCACAAACTCCCTCTCTTCGGCTGTTTGACCCAAGCCGCCCGGAGGCGGAAGGGCACCCGCTGCGGATGATGTAGCGGTCTCGGAGGTAGGCCCTTCCTCCGCTGTCACGGTTGCTGGCTCTGGAACTGCAGGCAAAGACTCTACAGCCACTGGCGCTTCTGGAACCGTCAAAGGCGAGGAAGTTGGGACCACAGACCAGGCCTTCGGTGTAGCCCCCGCTGGTGCTGCCTTGGATTTCGACAGAGCACCTGGAATTTCCCCAGGACCTGCCTTCGGGACATAACCGGGACCTGGAATCTCCCCTGGAGGAGGGGTCTCCGGCACACTCTCCGTTGTGGAACTTGGAGCTCCAACCGGTGCCGTGGGTCCTGGAGTTTCTGGGGCCCGCTCCTTTTCCACCACCATCGGCTCCACACTGTGGCCCGAGGGACCAGGAGGAGCAACAGGTGGAACATCCAAGAACTTGAAGGACTCCAAAGGGGCCAATGAAACTGCGGAAGGCGAAGGAGGCACCGGTGTCGAAGGAGCCGCAGTGTCCCCCTGAGGGGTTCCTAGGGCTGCTGGATCGAACTTGTACCCGTCCGTCGCGACCGGCGATGGCTCCATAATGATAGGAGACGGTGGGGGCGGCGCAGAGGAGCCCACATCCTTCAAGGCTTTCTCCGCTTCGATGAGCGCCAAAACTCTGGTCCGGCTCTGCATCATGTATTCCCCCATTGGAATCGATTCGTCCGACGAACTTGCCGAGGATGACTCTGCAGACTCTGTCTCTGAGCCTTCGTTCATCGCTCCAGTCTCCGAGCCTTCGTTCATCGCTCCAGTCTCCGAGCCTTCGTCCATCGCTCCAATTCCACCTCCAGTATCTGTGGAAGCAGCTGCAGCCGTCCTTCTGGCCTTGACCTTGGGTCGAGCGGACTGCAAGTCCTCCCGTTTTCGGACCACTGCTTCGAACTCGATATAGCGCCGGGTGCGCTGATCCATTGCCCCCATTAACGCACGCCACCCATGCCTGATGGCTGAGCCTGGCACCCACTCGAGCTGGAGCTCGACGTCGTCTGGATACATTCCAGCCAAAAGGTTGCGTTCCGCTTCCGGCATGGCCTCGTAAACGGTCAGGACCTTGAGGATACGCTTGATGTAACCCAGCGCAGCCACGTCCCCGCCACTCTGGTGGCGTAGGTGACTTGGATCGGGAGTATACCCTTCGATAGCGGCACGCGCGTCCCTTGCACGCACGCCGCGTTGATGAAGAGTGCGGCCTTGACCCGCGATTTCGAACCTTGTAGTATGCTCGTCCAACAACTCGTCGGTGAGCTGGGAAAAATCCCTCTTTCTCTTCACCGGAAGGATCCCTCCATGATCCGGGGCTTCCGGAAACTCGGGCAGCCACAGCGCCCACGCAACCTCTGCGCTGATGTAGGGCGTTCCATCCAGAGGATCGGGATCGTGATCGCGAAGCCTCTTGGACCACCCCGTTCCCAGGCACGGTCCCACACCTGGGTCTGGACGTTGGATCCGCCCAAGGAGCTTCTGTCCAACCTCGAGGAGGTAGCCGTCGGTCACCAAAGCATCTGTCAATGACGCAAAGATGGTCCCCTGGCGGGAAGAATAAACGAGTCCATCTCCGATAGACATAAGTGGAACTGCAGGTTCCAGGTCGTTCTCTGGAATTGCCGGCACAGGGTATCCACATGCAATCAGATCTTCTCGCTGTTGTCGTATCGCTTGCATAAAATACCTGTAGCGCGGCCCCCTCAGCATGCTTCTCCACTTCACGATCAGAGGCGGCTCGTCTGATGGCTGCGAAGGCTTGCTTGTGGATGCCACCGTTTGAGCCCTCCATCTTCCCCATGCTTCCTCCTCTTCCGTTTCTCCTGTCTCTGATGCAGCCACCGAAGGCGAAGGTACTGCAACTTGACTCGGAGGCCTCGAGAAAACATTGAAGGGGGCAACTGAAGCCCCTGCGTCCGCAGTCTCGGCTGGCGCCGCCTCTGCTGGTGCAGGCTCTACGGGTGCATTCAAAAACACAACCTCCTGCCCGGTACTCTCCGCTGGAGAGTTGTGGGAATCTTGCTCCACCTCCATTCGAGGTTCCGACATGCTCAGCACCTTCCCTCAGGGAAAACCAAGACACGCACACAAGCAAAATGGCTGCGGACAAACATGCGCACTTCAAGCCTTTTTGAGGTCTTTTGGGCTTCCTAATGCAAAACATGCTTGGCTCGGTTGCTTTGGGGCACTCACTTCCTTTAAGGGCACACCTCAAACCTTCACTGCCGAAGATCAGAAGCGAAAAACCTTTCAAACACAACCCCTTCACAAGACATGCCAGCAAAAACATCACGTTCCAAACTGCGCACACATGCCGCTGCCAAAAATCATGTTGCTGTCTGACAAAAACATGGCATTTCCTAACAGAATCATGCAGTTTCCTAACCAGACTTTCGGAACACAGGCTCCTATCACCACTCAGGACATCCGTTTTTCTAGTACAGATCATGTCGTGCGGTTTCCTAACGGCGTGTTCTTCAGGAATTTCCAGGGACCTACTCCTAACTTCAGCCCTCAAACCGCGCAACATGAACTCAAATGGCGTTCCCGTCAAGACATGGCGGATAGACTTCTCGTCCTTTCCAGGCTTCTCATCACTCTTCACTTCTTTCGAAGTCTTCTTCAGGATGCTTGGTCCTGCAGTAATGTCTTTCCTGGGTTCCTTGTCAACAGGAAGAGAGTCGATCTCCATGTCCGATCCCTTGGATGGGCGTTTAGGAGCTTTCTGCTTCTTTCCGCTAATCGCCCACCAGGCCCGTTTCGCCCCAACCAGGCGGACATTCTTCTTTCCACCCTTGTAAATGCGAGACCCGGTGCGCGCAAGGTGCGTCTTCCAGCCCCGTTCCGACGCGGACCACGGAGATACCACATTAAAAGGCACGTCCGCCACAAGGACGTCCTCCAACGTCAACGAAACGTCGCCGAAACGAACTTCCAGATCAACGACATTCGATACGTTTATGATGTCTCCTGAGGCACTATAGAGCGTCACCGTGCGATCATGGTACTTGCAGACACGAAATCCTGACAGATGATCTGCTGATACGATGTGGCATGTGGCTCCACTATCGACCAGCCACACATCACGATGCTCTACCTGCAGCGAAGCGCAGACGTATGCCGCATCTCCCTTCGAGGTGCTTCCAGTCAGGGTGCCTACCTTCTCATCTACAGTGACTTTCGGCTCTACAGCGGCCGGTCTAGGGACTGCCTCTACGGGCTTAGGCTTCTCAGGCTCAGGCTGGCTCAGTACTTCTCGTACAGCAGAAGGCTTGGCAAACCTCATCGCCATCACGGTGGAGGTCCTCGAAGACTCGGACTCTGCCTCGGACTCTGGTTCTCCCATAGCCCGGGCTCTAGCCTTCTTCTTCTTGCCTTTGCCCTTGCCTTTATCAGGCTTGTCGGGCTTCTGCTCCTTGTCTTTGCCGCCTTTTCCGCCTTTCGGCGTTGGAGAGCGTGGCTTTCCTTTGGGATTCTGCGCTCCCTTGCCATCGCCCTTCTTGCCCTTGTCGCCCTTCTTGCCCTTTTCACCGGCTTCACGCTGACGGCTCCAGCAGTCCTTAGCCAAGTGTCCCTTTCGTCCACAGTGGTCACAAAGCTTGTCACCCTTTCCCGACATCTGCCGATTTGAGGAAAAAGGACCCTCACACAGACGAAGCTGCTCCTCATAGTACCGAAGGCTATCGCTCAGACGATGGTCCCAGTCGTTTTGCCTTCCCGATAAAAACGACTTACTAGTCCCTGAGCTCCTTGCTCATAGGCTTGCCGCAAAAACGCCATCGGTCAGCCTGCCGTTAGGACGCAAACTCTGAACCAGTTCCCAAGCTTGGCTCCCCCGGCACGAGAAAACCTCGTTCCCACTCGTCCCGTCCAAGTGAAACGGATTGCGGTCCTGCCGTCCGTCCTTTGATGCTTTCATCGTAATGTCGCCCAACTTGATGCCACTGCTCCCCGCACGTAGACAGCTTTCCATGCGAAAGACACGAATGCTGTAATTGCTGCGTGAATGGTCCCCACAGGCTCGTAACCCGCAGGCACTGTAGACGCCTTTCGATCAACGAAATCTTATCACCTCCTTTCACCATCTTTCCCAACGTGAGAGAGATTGGGTGAGATAGTAGTAAAGCTTCGCACTTCGAGCAGCAACATCATCCGCCAAATCCTTCTGAAGGATCTCATTCTTTTGCTTGACGCAGAGTTGCAACTCTCGAACGAAAGACTCATCTTGAAGAGCAAGCCACGATGACAGTGTCTCCAAGTAGGCATGCCATGTCTCGACTTCTCGCATTCTGCCCTTGTTCATGCCTTGATGCTCTAGCATCGGCAGAGATGGAAGGTACTTCTCCGCTCTATTCTGCACCAGTGGGCTCCGAACAGAACTTGAAGACGAGGTAGCTCCTGCAAAAGGCACAGAAGGTGTGCTCGGTGCAGCTGCAAAAGGGTCTTCCGTCTTGGCTCTAGCTGCAGCCTCCGCAACCAAACGTGCGGTCTCCGCTGCCTTCTCTTCAGCCTCATTTCGACGCTTCTCTTCCAAATCCATCCTTCTCATGAGGGCAGCTATCAACTGCTGGTTCTGCTGGTTGGCCTGACTTTGTTGCCTTAGCATTTCCATGAAGATGGCTTGGAAGTTGCCTTCACCAAGGCCATTTCCAGCTTGTACTCCACCCACTTGGCTTCCAGCAGGCGAAGCATGAGCTTGAGCTGGAGTTGCCGGAGGCGACGCAAAAGGGTTCGCTCCTCCAGCAGGTGCTGTCGGCTGTCCTTGAGACCCAAACAGCAAAGCCTCTTCCTCAGGGCTCACATCAGGTACTGGCACTGTAGACGCGTCCGGAACTTGGGCCATGGCTTTTCCTGGAACGTCTTTTCAGGACGCTCCGCTACCATGTGAAAAGCAGAGCTTCAGCGCAGACTGCTTTTTCCGTTCGCACTTGAGCCAAACACGTCAGTGTTCAGCTGCACTGTCTTTGGTCAGCAAAGGTGCTCTCTCCAAGAGCAAAGGCTTCAAGTCTTCAAACGACATCTCAACTTTGTTTAGACAAAGGAGAAGACAAAAGTAACATGCAAAACATCTTGGTTACTGGTTCAGGACTTCAGGTCTGTTGCAAAACATACAGCATGCTCTCAGAATGCCTCAGTCGAGTGTCAAACGGTCACGACACGGTACGAACGACGGGGCAAAGCACACGGAGTGAGTAACGGCCAAAGTCTGTTCCTCAGAGCTTTGCTTCAGCACTTCCAGATGACTCTCAGGTCAACTCCCGAGAGCTAAAAGCCTCTCTGTGCTTCTCAAAACTCATCATCGGACTTGCAAACCAAAACATGTCAAGTCAAAGCACCTTCATGTCATGCAAACATGCTCATGCCAAAACAAACATGTTCTTGCCATGTCACAGCACTCATGTCCTACACATGTACCTGCAAGCAACTAGGCAAACAAAGAAATGTCATATTTTCACACAGGGGCAAATGCCCTCCCCCTTCAGCAAAGGGGGTCTTTAAGGGAGCTACAAGGGGCTTTAAGGGGGGCTTCAAGGGGGCTTTAAGGGGTTCCCCTTAAAGGGTTAGGAAGAGTTTTTTGGAAACAGCAAATTTGAGAACCATGGTTTTGCAATAGTTTTTGGAAAGGCGATTTTTGAAGACGTGCTATTTGTGATACTTTTAGAACCAGCAATTCCGGAACCATGGTGTTTGCGATGGTTTTTAAAACCAGCACGGAAAGTTATTACGTGCAGCCTTCCAGTGAGTGGACAGGTCCAATTTGTAATCTTTCTACGCCCTCCGGCGCAGTGTCCACCGGCTAGAATGCGGAGGTGCAACTGCGGACAAAATCGGCGAGGCAGCGGTAACCAATCGACGGCCTTGATTTTGACTTGCACTGACTGGTTGCGATGTGCGGTGTAAAGGGTGAGTCTGCTGGTTCGACAAGACAACAAGCACTTCCAGAAACGCACAAGCGTGTTTTGCCGCTGCCAGGGGCACCAGTGATGAAGACAGGAGCGATTGGCACCAAACCGCAAGAACAGGTTCCAATCAACGCCGCAAGATGACCGTCAGCCCCCCAAAAAGTGTCACAAAGACACGAAAGGGTTTAACCCGGTCCAGTTTAGCCACTGGCAAAGCCCAGCAGCTGACACGTTCAGCCACCAAGGCTCGTTTTACCTTAACTCTTGCCCTCTAGCCGCGAATGCGCTCGCTTGTGTGAGAAAGTTTTTTGACTTCCTTTTGAGTGCCCTTACAGTTGACATGATGTCTTGCACATGTTGTAAAAGTTTCTAAACAGCACAAACCCAACTTACACACAGCTTCGCACTTGCACAGCACTTTCTCGGTCACACAAAGCGACGTGCAGTTGTCCTGCCTCCTTACTGCTTTCTCAGCTCTCTTGACCTTGAGCCAAGAGTCAAAAGTAAAACTGGAAAAACCCAGTTGACGCCACCTACGCAAGCTCACTTCTCCTACAAAACAAAATCTCAAGGAAAAACATGCTCGACTGTTCAGGGAAGACCTGTACGTCCCGGACATACAGTAAGCACGTCAAACATGCGCCTTGGCCTAAAAGGCATCCCGCAGACGTGTCTATACACAGATTTCCACACCCCCTTTCGGGATGATCTTTTTGTCTCACCTCACTCTCAGATGACGACATCTTCAGATGATCACTCCAATCTCAGAGGTCTGTTCCCTGTCACACATGTCGAACACGGAGTGATGCATGTTGGGTTGGAGGTAACGGCCGCCACATGCTTGCAGTACACACTGTGATATTTGTCCCCGGACGGGAACACACACAGTTCTGTGTTGCCCGGCTCTGGCTTACAGTTCCCACACTGCCACATAGTTCGCCATGATCCCTCCATGCGATGACATGTCTGATCGTGATGAAAGATGCCCTGAGACTCTGAAGCAAAGATGCGCTTGTCCACTCTATCCTTGCAGCTGGAACTTGCACGCTTCTCCCTTGCACCAGCTGCCTTCGGCCTCGCTCTCAACGACGATGCCTCCTTTTTACCATCTGGCTCACGAGGGTTCATCTGTTGACTTCTCTCAGGCATAGAGTTGTTTTGGGCACCTTGTGGCTTCATCGTGTCATCATCCAGAGGCGGGTTCTGTGTAGCAGCTCTTTGCTGCCCATAGCTCATCCGGAAAAACAATGCCCACGCACAACAGCATGTCATGATCAGCGTACCAACCAAGACGCCGTTGACAAAGCACCCGATGATGATGATCCATACTGGATCCCAAGTCGGACTAGCAAACATCTGTACAAGCTCGCTGCCCATGAAGGTGGTTCCCCAAAGCTCTACTGGCCTCGCAGTCTCCACTCCAGAGCTCATCAACGCAAGAATGGCCACTGAAATCGCCACTCTCATCAAAGGCTGTGCAACCATGACGCCCGAGGGAAAACTAGAAAACTTGCGTTACAAAGAATCGCAAGTGCTGTGCAAACGCACTGTGCAAAACGCACTCTGACTATACTCCTCACATGACTTGATCATGTGTGGCGTAAGATGAAACCAAATCGGATCCCCCTTTCAGTTTGTTGCTTTCAGGGCTTTGACCAACCCTTCTGCCAGCACCTTGCTATACCTCCCTGTTGCTGTGTAGTCAATGTCATGGAACGAGGCATGTGTCTGGCAACTGCAGCTTCCAAACATGTCGAAAAGCTTCTGGGCGCACTCGAGATGTGAACACATGAACCTGAGACGTTTTGACACTGGAAGACCGCTTCGACTCAACACGCCGGTGGCGCACAGCCACACATCTACGGGATACACAAGACCTGAGGCTCGAAGGACATTCTGTGTTCCCCATCTCTTCCAAATCATGTTTTGCTTTGGCAATTCGAACGTACGTCCATCTCCAAGCCTCAGATACCTCTCTGCAGATCGCATCAACGCCTCCCACTCAAGATCAGATTTTGTACATCTTTGCACAAAGTTCCGCAGTGGCGATCCTGAAGAGCAAGGCGTGGACACGTGAACGTGGATCCAAAGCCCTCTGTTCTTCCAAGCAGTGATGACCTTGATGGTTTCTGCCAACACTCTTGAGGTCTCGGCATTGGCTTCCAAATCAACACGCGACGTCCTCCCAACATGAAACTCTCACTCTTCGCGTCCTGACTTCCATCTCGGAATCGAATGCTGTTCACCTCCACATCAAACATGCTCGGACTTGTCACAACGTCGCTCAGCAGAACACTTTCACATGCGTTGCTGGACCAGCACAAGCCCTCGAGTCGTCTCGGCTCCTGGGGTCCTGAGGCTCGAATCTCATCTTCAAGATCAACAAGCTCAACATCAGGATGCCTCTTCACCCCCTTTTGCTCTGGCACCCTTGGGCTTGATCCTTGCTCGTCCATTTGCATGTGCTCGGATGACTTGGCGGGCCTGCGCTGTAGCAGTGAAGGTCGTGATGATGCTGATGGTGATGCTGGCTCAACTACCCGCACACGCTTCAACTCTGGCTCATCACCTGTACTCCCGGAAGCAACACCACGAGTCGACACCTCTCCACCTGAGCGCTGCTCTCTCTCTGGTCGTGGTTCATGTTCAGAAGATGACGGTGGGCGCCCCGCCATTGGTGCAGGGATTCCCACCGGAATCGGCATCACTTCCTCTCGACCTTCGTCCTTCAACACCAATCTCCGCTCATCACTCTCAACATTGGTCTCAAACTGCTGGGACCTTCCTGCCTTAGCCGATCCACTTCCGGCTTCACGTGATGCATCCAAAGGTGGCTGCATAGCCACTCTAGCACCATCAGATGCCATGGACTCTGTCAACCAGCGTTCATACCTCCGATGACAGGCTCTCGTATGCGCACCGCCCAGCCTACGCCCATGTCGTGCATTGTCACACGCTGAGCATCCTTCCGTGTATCCATGAGTTCTCACCCATTGAGCTGGAGGACCTGACGCTGGGGCTCTCAGTGACACAGGTGGCTCAAGAACTTCGCGCTCCTCACTTGCTGAAGGCAACTGGGGGCCTCCACCAAGAGTTCCAACGATGCCCTCAACAAGTTCCAGACGCCATGTCAAGGGTACACAAAGTTTCACCGACGTAGCTGCGAATGTCTTTAGCACCAACTGTCCCTCGACTCGGATGAGCGCTCGAACTTTGATGGCCTGTGACCCAAGGATGGGATGGAGGAAGGCACTTTCGGTGAACCTGGGAAGGTTAGGGGCGAGATCCTTGATTGATTGGGGAAGTTCTGCTAGGACTATGGCTCCAAACAAAGTGAAGGGTCCTTTTGGACTGGGCCTCCCAAGCACAAGATCACAAGGTGCCATGTCACTCCCGTGCGCTTTAGAGAATCTGTTCAAACTTCCACACACGTAGCACAACGCACTGGCAAATCCTCCATGGTTGTAGCACAAGTCAAGCCCTTCCTGATTGAGATCTGACCTCAACGTCTGCAAGGACTCCTTAATCCTGCGCACACCACGTTCTGCCACTCCGACTGCTTCATGATGCTGGGGTCCTGCCTTTCGAACTTGGAAGGAGAATTCGCCAGAAGCCCCTGTGACCAAATCGGACACTGCCCCTTCAGCATCTGTGATCAACAACACCGAAGAGGAGCCTGACTCCAGACCAAACTCACGCAGCCATTTCACGATCTCTGTACGCGTCGCTACAAGATCCCCTGATGTCAAGATAGCACCAGTCATCATGCTCATGCGCTCGACAAGTACCAACACCCTCAGGTTGTCTGCTCGGACCTGCCTGTGATCTTCACCCGTGGATGACAAGTAGAAGAAATCTGCCACGACTTCACTTTCAAGTCTTCCGTTCACACGCTTGCGATGTTGAAAGACCGTTCTGGCAACTTGACAGTGCCTACAGCCAGGATGATACGGTGTGTGTCCTTGCAATCGATGCTGTGCCAACTCTGCTTGTGTCGACCGTGTCACAGGCGCTACAAGAACCCCACCTTCAGCGGATATCGAGGAGAGGGAAAGTTCGACTTCGTTCGAAGAACCCTGGGAGGACTTCAACAGTGGTTTCAACCTCAACCAGGGAACATTTCCAAACAGTGTGACCTCTTTGGCTGTCAGGCCTGCAGAGGTGGCGAGCGCAATCCCGGCACAATTTTGAGAAAAACTCCAACCGCGAAAACAAAGCATGGTCGTGGAAATAATGTTGCGGTTCGTGTCTCCTACCCAAACATTCATGCTTGCTGCATGCCACGTGTTCTCTCCACTCCCGTTCTCGAGCAGGAGTTCGACGGATATCGTCCGTTCACCAAGCATTCGCACAGAGCTGCCGTTCGCTGCAGAAAACTCTTGCCCTACATGCTGTCTCTTCGAGTCATCAACGTAGACCCCAAACATCTCTGCATACTTCAGACTCAGCACTGTCACCCCTGCCCCGCTGTCCAGCAACCACCATTCCCCATGTCTCGCTTCTGCTCTCAGTCCAGCGATCACGAGTGGTTCCAGACAAACAGGCTGTTCAACAGGCAACACCGCACTCAACTGCAAACTCTCTCCCACGCTCTCGTCAGCAGCAGCGGCGTTCCAGATCTCATCTGCCCATTGCTCATCCCAACTGTTGCTCCAGCTCTCATCCCACACAAACGCACCCCAGCCCTCATCGACCTGCGGGTGCTCAGGCACTGGCGGCAAAGATTCCACTAATTCAAACATCTTTCCTTTCTTGCCCTTTCCAGGACCTTTTGCTCCCTTTTCTTTGCCCTTTGCCTTTCCTTTTCCTTTATCCTTTCCTTTTCCATCTTTGCCTTTTCCTCGTTCCTTTCCTTTCTCCTTTCCTTTTCCCTTTCCAGAGGATGAGGCTGAGCCGTGGGCTTTACTGCAATGCGCGCTGATGTGTCCCAGTTCCCCACAAGAAAAACACTTCACCTTGGACATGTCTGTGCTACAGTTTTCTGTCTTGTGATTCTTCCTACCACAACGACCACACCGTTCAGCACTTACCGCAGAAACTGACACATCATGCCATGCACCGTCATGCTCATGCCATGCACACTCATACTGTCCGTCATCGTCCCATGCTGTCATATCAAACACCTCATACACTTGTTGCTTCTTTCCTGGTGACAAGTTCAGATCCAAGAAGAGTCTCTGTTGACGCTCAAAACGAAGAGCTGCACTCCGACATGACTGATACGTTTCTGCTCCCGAGTGATGCAAAACGTACTTCTTCGCTTCTTCTGGCAAACTCCGCAGCAAAATCACAAGCATGTCTCCATCTCCGATGCTCAACCCTTGCCTGTCTAGTGCTGTTGGCAGCGTGCCCAACAGCTTGGCGTAACGTGACACCTCTATGTCGATCTTTCTGATCACATCACCGACCATCGTAGCTGCATTCATTTCTGAATTTCTCAAGGCGAATATCCTGTGCAACAGTTCCGACCGCATCGACAAGGCCTCTGCTCTACTGCGCAACGAAAACTGCTGAGCCAGCTGCCTAAGCAGCTCGTACCCACAGTTCACATTCCCCAAACTTCTGGCTGGATCTGCAAGAGACCCATCAAGTGGCAAACCTTCGCTGAACGCCTGTATCATGAGGGTTGCCCTAGCATGGTCCAAGAAAGCTGCTTTCAACAAGCCATACAGCCTCACCGACCGTGTCTTCTGCTCTTCATTCAACGAATGTTGCCAAATCGTATCTGGCCAACGCACACACATGCCTATCTCTTCTGCAAACACAACGCTCGCCAACGCTGCCCAACTTTGAAGCGACACTACGTAGTCTGCAAACCCAGCAACCTCTTGCTCACGCGTGCTCCACTTCTCTGCATGGGTCACAGGAGGCTGACCCAACCATTTCTCAGATCGCGAAAACACATCTCGTGACTCAAAGCTTTGCGTCATGCCAGCCTGCATACCAGCTCCAGGAAGCACACCCGACGTTTGTGGCATGAACTGCTCTCGCCTAGGTCCTACAGGTACTGGCACCGGTCCAAACTGCTCAGGCACTCCACGCGCCTGCATTCCAAGTTGCTCCTGTAGCGCCGTTTGCGCCGCTTGAGCTTGCTGTGGTGACATCATGCTGATGAGCTGCTGCATCTGGACCAAAACGTCCTGACCAGCCATGCCTTGCCCCAAGCACCCATGCACTGGAACTGCCGACTGTGTGCCGCACGCACCTGCGCTCACAGCCCCGATGCCTGCTTGTCTTCCTGCCATCCCCCCACTCAGAGAGGACAACTCACTGTCAATTCCTCCAGCTGGAACCGGCGGAAACTGACACGCATGTGCCTGCATGCCCACGTACTGTTGCGCCTGCTGCACTGCTTGCTGTCTGGCTTGCTGCTGCTGTTGCAAGTACGCCCCCCATGGGTCTGAGCTTTGCCCCGGAGTCTCAACACCCTGGCCTCTACTTCTACCGTCCCTAAGACCTTGCTCAAGTCTGTCAGGCGACGCTGGCCCACTTGCCATGCTTCACGCACAACACGTGGCTCTTTCCTTTAGGCCAAGGCGTTCCGGCAGCGCTCCGCTACCATGTAAAAGTTTCTAAACAGCACAAACCCAACTTACACACAGCTTCGCACTTGCACAGCACTTTCTCGGTCACACAAAGCGACGTGCAGTTGTCCTGCCTCCTTACTGCTTTCTCAGCTCTCTTGACCTTGAGCCAAGAGTCAAAAGTAAAACTGGAAAAACCCAGTTGACGCCACCTACGCAAGCTCACTTCTCCTACAAAACAAAATCTCAAGGAAAAACATGCTCGACTGTTCAGGGAAGACCTGTACGTCCCGAACATACAGTAAGCACGTCAAACATGCGCCTTGGCCTAAAAGGCATCCCGCAGACGTGTCTATACACAGATTTCCACACATGTAGGATAAACTACGAGTTTGCGTTGCATGAGGCAGAGAAGCAGAGATGCTTTAGCATTCTTGAGGAAGCTCTTCAAACCTTGGCCACCGACCCTCGCTTCGCTCGTGTCGTCGTACTAGGTTCGAGTCAAAAACTTTCACAGAATGAAGTCTGGCGCTGCTGGACCTGCAGCCTCGGCGCACTAGTGGCAAGAGGGCAATGCTACAGAGCCTGCAAGTCGGCTTCAATGCTACTGGGCCTGCGCTCAGCGTGTCTCGTCTCCATCCTCAAGCGAACTGCAAATTGGTTATTGTCAAGTGGCGCACTTGATTGCCATTACTCTGACTGCCTGGCGCAGCAGCCAATTTTTTCGAAAGCACACAGGCCACAAAGTGAACTCACTATCCCTGAAACTCAGCCCAGAGCCGGCCAACAAGAGAACTACCAGGCAGTCTGCAGCGAGAGGCCTGCAGGGACCTGCCCAGAGGCGGACTTCTCGGCAGTCTGCAGCTGGGATGCTGCAGCGAGAGAATCAAACCTCCTGGCAAATCCTCGCAATCTTCAAACGGCAGAATTGCGTCGAGTGGATAGAATGGGAGAAGGTGGTTCCTTCTATCTCCACAGGGCCAAAGAAGGCCACCAAGTGTGCTAGTACAGCAGCACGGTTTTACAACCCAAACACCAAGAAGGTGGTTTGTGGAAGCTTGCGAATTCATGTCTCCTTGGCCTCTTGTCAAAATTGTATCATATTGCAGTTTGATTACCCAACATCTGCCTTTTTGTGGTACTTACGGACTTGGATCTTGACTGATCTCCTGTTTCCCAAACCTCAAAGATCCTCAAGCTAACACACATTGCTTTGAAAGGTTTGCGGCATGCCATTCAGTTTACACCCTGGCTGTGCCATGGCTGCCAGTGAAGATTTGTAACTTCTTGGCCAGTGCAATAATTGGCTGAGCCGCATTTTGCAAAGCTGCGCACTCTCTTTGAGCAAGACGCACACACCGTGGAACTCTTCGACATCGCTTGGGCACGTTTCACCCCTGTTGGTTTTGCTAGTCTCGACTCGTTTCACGTCGCAACAGACCGACCTACTGTGGCTGCTGCGGTCAAGGGGTTCAGAGGTTAGAGTTTGGGGGTTAGAGTTTCGGATTTAGGGTTTATTTGTTTGGGGTTTAGAGGAGGTTCAACTGACCCTTGAGCTTCGGTGCTGGACAAAACCCAAACCAAATCCAAGCCTAAACCCTCGACCTTTTTGCGGAAACATTAAGAAACACGTCACGGACGATGACAGTGAACGGAGCAGTAAACCTACGTCCCAATTTAGTGAAGGGGCGCGAGAGCGGACTGCGGCGCGTGCTGGAGGTTTTTATTAAATTGTTTTTGTGGAATGGCGCGAAAGCGGACTGCAGCACGTGTTGCGGCTGCGGCGGCAAGCGGATGTCAACAAACATGAAAATATGTTCGCAAAATACATGTAAAAAGATTCAAAGTCAACTGTGCAGCGCGAGCCGGTGCACCACACCGTTGCCGTCCTTCGGAGTGCTTTACGGGGTGCCTCACGCGGTGCTATACAGGATGTTTCACCACCTGCAAGTGGTTCGCCTTCCGCCCCGCTTGCTGATCATCAGCAGTCCCGGCAACGCTTGGTGACGTTGCTCGTGGAGGCGGGCGCGCTTTTCTTGCCAGGAGGCTAGAAACCACACCTGCAGACTGAGAAAGCTGACCACTCTCCTGTTATGAGGGGAGGTATTCATGCATGCATGAATGCAGCTCTTTACAGTCGTGCAATTGTCTAGAGCGAGTGAGATGACTTTCAACTCCTAATTGCACTGTCACTACTGCGATGTGGACGCCCAGCATTCGTGCTGGTGTTGCCACGCATGGTCCTTGCTCTGAGCTTCAGCACTCTGTTTGGGATGCCTGCCTGTGGCCAGTGCTGGGCAAGTGGGATTCTGTGATGGCAACACTGCTGCTGCTGCTGCTCAACATCTTTGCACAAGTTGGGTTCGTGTTAGTGGTGCAAATCGACATGCTGGAAGAAGTCCTGACATCAGAGAAGCTGGACGAGCTCACTTCTCGTCAGAGAACTCTGGCAGATAGTAGGTGTGCTTTGTAAAAACTTTTTGTTGATGGGTGTGTAAACCCAATCTCGCGCTTCTAACAACTCGACTTGCTTGGGTGATAGACGGGGGAAACTCGAAACCCGAAACCCTAAACCTTAAACCCCAAACCCTAAACCCTAAACCAGCAAGGCCAACATCGCCCACGATGCACGCTACGCAGATGTGGGGGGCGGCCGGTCTTTGGCGCGTTGGGTTTGCTTTCAAGATGAGTCGCTCCAACTTGCAAGCTCACAGACCAGCCCCCAGGAGTGAAAAAAGGGCAGGGTTGTTGAAAACGTTCAGTCGTTTTGCAGGGCCCTCACCCTACGAGTTCGACGGGAGAGGACATGGGACAAACTTCTAGGGGCCGTCACCAAACCTTCCGAGCACCGAAGCAATGGACATTCGACAAACCTCTAAGGGATATGTTTTCACTTCCACAGTGTTCTGGTTGTGCAAGCGTTAGGAACAACATAGGATGTTTTTGCGTTTGTTCCTTTTAATTCGGGCCAAGAAAGGCATGTTCCTTTGGGTTTTGACTCGTAGTACTGCATGACTCGCCTATTATATAAGGGGCCGGCACTGAAGCTTAGGGTAACCCTAAATGCCTTTCAAATGTTATGTCTCGTTGTTGCTTCTCGACTTTTCCCTTTTTCTACAATCTTACTGTTTGGGGTCTTCGCCGGCATAGTTTATTGTTGCTATGGCTGTTGCTGTTAGTGCTATTCTTATTGTTGTTCTGTTGCTGTATGATTGTGCAGCGTTTTGTCTCAATCGCTGGTGACCGAAGTGGTGTAGCCATGGGGTGTTGCGTCCGGTCCTCAGCGTAACAGCTCTAAACCCTAAACCCTAAACCCTAAACCCTAAACCCTAAACCCTAAACCCTAAACCCTAAACCCTAAACCCTAAACCCTAAACCCTAAACCCTAAACCCTAAACCCTAAACCCTAAACACTAAACCCTAAACCCTAAAAAAAAAACCCTAAACCCTAAACCCTAACCCTAAACCCTAAACCCTAAACCCTAAAACCCTAACCCTAAGCCCTAACCCTAAACCCTAAACCCTAAACCCTAAACCCAAACCCCTAAACCCTAAAACCCTAAACCCTAGAACCCTAAACCCTAAACCCCCTAAACCCTAAACCCTAAACCCTAAACCCTAAGCCCTAAACCCTAAACCCTAAACCCTAAACCCTAAACCCTAAACCCTAAACCCTAAACCTAAACCCTAAACCCAAAGCCCTAAACCCTCAACCCTAAACCCTATAGCTTTGGGCACCTGAAAGAGTGCATGGATGCCCAGGAGAGCGTCCCGCAGGGAGCCACCCAGGACGCGTTGGGCAACCCTTAAGGGTTTAGGGTTTAGGGTTCTGGGTTCTGGGTTAACCCCTCCCGACCAACCAAGACTCCGGAAGCCCTCAAGAATCCCTGAACCCTAAACCCTAGACCCTAAACCCTGAACCCTGAACCCTAAACCCTGAACCCTAAACCCTAAACCCTAAACCCTAAACCCTAAACCCTAAACCCTCAACAACCCTAAGCCTTTCCGTGCCAGGATCCGGAGAGCCCCACCCTGCTTCAAGCCGCCCGTCGGAACGCCGAAGCCTCTCCGAGGCCCAGCGCGGTGAAGTCCTCCTTCGAGGCCCTTGCTTTGCGCAGCCTCGCAGGGCTTCGGGTATAGGGTTTAGGGTTGAGGGGTTCAAGTGGGCTTTAGAGACACAGCTTTTGGCGTTCCCTTGCTCGGACTGCGTCGACCCGAAATAACTTTTTTGGTGCCAGTTGTTAACCTCCGAGCCCTTAAACCCCACAGCCCAAGAGTCGAGACGAGTGTAACCCAGCGTTGATCTTAGAAACTGCGAGGTTTCAGGCCTTCGTGCTTAGGGGTTTCGGGTTCAGGGTTTCGGGTGTAGCAGTTGGGTTTTTCATTGCAATAGACCTCAACTTAGAAGAGTGTCTCGAAAGTGACTTCTGGATGTATGATACCTTACGTCCTCATAGCCCCCCTAAACTAACAGGCCTTCATCAGGATTTTAATAATCGCCATTAAGGACTGTTAGTACACGGGGGAGAATGGAAAAAACCGGGTCCCCGAGTTGTTCCAAAGAACGGAACCCTAAACCCCTACACCCTCAACCCTACACCCCAAAACAACAAGCCAGCACACCCTGAACAGTAAACCTCAAACCCTAAACCCTAAACCCAAACAAGAGATTGTCCCTCTCGGCGCTTTGAGGGCCTGGGGCCCTCTGAGCTTTCGGAGTACTTCGCCGGGAGCTACCTCTGCGGAGAGCTTCTGGACTTGGCGCAGTCCGCGTGTTCTAAGGCCGAGGTCGGTGAGCTGCCCACATTCAGGTTTGATGCGGTAGATGGCCCGATTCATGTGTGGCAACACGCTTTTGACCTGCGGGACGTGTTTGGTACCAGTGACGACGGCATCATTGTGCTGTACCACTACACGAGCATCCTTCCCTTCGAGAATGTTGCAAACCTCGATCAAAGTGCCGCCGAGCTTTTCGCATCCCTCGTGGACAAGCGCGCCCACTTCGGGAAAGGTGTGTACGCATCCCAGCACGAGCCATCTGTGCCACTGCTCCAATATAGAAAGCCGCAACTAGCAACCTTGCAGCCTAAGCAGCGAATTCACACAAAAGTCACGGAAAGCCCCCGAATTGGTGTTGAATGGTGTTGAGCCCCGCAAAAGTCTCGATGCGTGGAAGCGTCTTCGAAGCGAGGTCTGGAAGCTGCGCCTTCGAGTCCTCCTGAACAACGACAGCAACAGCAGCCCTTTCAGCGACTTGGCTGTGCGTCTTGTGGCTTGGTTTTCTCTGTTTCAGTGCGGTGTACTGGGAGTTCCTGGGAGTGGATGCAAAGCCCGTGTCGGCGCAGGGGGCCCGGAGGACGAAGAAGCACAGCGTGTCTGTCGCGAGTGGGGCGAGCAATGCGCGTCCGGCCATCGTGGGGCGTTCTGCATCCCCATGCTGGTCCCGAAGGCCATTGCACACAACATCTTCGAGCGTCAAACGAGACGCGGTCGCACCCAGACACGCTTGACAGAAACCAGACATGAACGACTACTTCATGACATTCACCCTTGCGTGAAGCTTGCGTTTGCTAGTCTGGTGCCTAGGGTGTGCAGTGTCTACTGTGGGGAATCAATCGACTATGAATCCTTCAGAAACCTAGTGTCCATGTGCAAAAGCATGTGTCTCTTTGTATGTGTCGCATCCCGAGCAGCTCCGAGTAGCTTGAGGCCGGAGCTTGCCAAGAAGGTGGTTCGCCTTGGGGAAGACTACAAGGGCATGCCGGTGGATCGTGCTCGGGACGTCTGGGTGGTTCGTGTTGTGGATGGCGCTGGTGAAGTGCGACACGCCTCTGCAAAAGCGGACACGGTGCTCCGGCTGCTGCGACTGCGCCTCGCTAAGTCGGATGACGTGCCAACATCCTGTGCGATCAGATGGGAGTTGGCACGGAGGCTGCAGGGCCGTGGGCTGTTGAGCGAGGCTGAAGAGACCTTAAAGAAGTGCCTCTCAGATGCCGTGCGCGCCGCCCCGAGGAGGCTTGTACCCGTCATGAACAACCTTGCGGCTGTGATCTACTTCCAATGGCGTTTTCTTGAAGCGGAGGCTACCTATCGCAAGGTGCTGGAGATGTGCCCGAGCCTCAGGCTCCAGGTCTTCTTTGCAAGGAGCATTCTGATCGCTGTGAGCCTCATGACCAGGTCTTGGGGCATGGATGTAAATTGGTAAATTGGGAGTGTGAGTGCTGGCCCACCTATCGCAGCTTTGGGAGGCCATGCCAGTGCCAAGAGCGAGTCGAATGACATTTCCACGCTGACGGCGATGGGAGGCCTCGCCACAACTCTCAGAGAGCTTGAACGGCTGAAGGAGGCAGAGAAGATGGCGTCGGATGCGCTGAGTGGATGTCAAAGGCTTAGCATGTCGCAGCAAGTCCTGCTTGCGAGTGCTGCTTGCAAGTGCTGCTTGCAAGTGCTGCTTGTCGCCTCTTTCAGTTCAAAATGTCGTCTCCCTCAAAGCTGTGCCTGAGCACTGTTGCCTCTGCCTTGCATCTGGCATTAGGTCGGGCAACCCTGCCGAAGTATGACTCCGACACACTGAACGCTGTGAACGACCTGGCTCTTGTGTTGGAGGCGCAGAACCGGCTGGAGGAGGCCGAGCCACTCTACCGTGAGGGTCTGGAAGGATGCCCCAAGCTCAGAGATTCTCTCCACTGGGATATTCGCCCACTTTGTTCATGCTGGCGTTCATGTGGCAAGAGCAAGCCCGGGTGGCTTCCCAGGTCGGGCCGCCAAGGGTGAGCATCACCCCGAGACGCTGACGAGCATCTTCAATTTGGGGATTCTTCTTAAAAAGCTGGGGCGCTTGGAAGAGGCGGAGGCGTTGGTTCGTGAGGCCGCGGAGAAGAGCAGAAGCCTCAGCGTGGTTGGTGACGGTGCGGGAGCATCCTTGAGCAACCCATGACTTCTAAGGTGCAGCCAAGCTGGGGCACCGCCATTTCGAGACGCTGAATTGTCTGGAAGGCCTTGCCGCCGTGGTCTCCGGGCAGGAGGAGGAGGAGGAGGAGGAAAAGTTGCTTTTGGAGGTGTTCGAAGCACGTGAGAGTCTCAGAGTTGCGGAAGGGGTCCCGTTGGGAGTCGGCGTCTGTCGGCGTGTTGCGTGCAGGCCCATGTCTAGGCACTAGGGTACTAGGCTTGTGGTTTGGGCATGTTTGGGCACTTGCGGTCTTTTCCATATTGACAGCACCCCTTGAGGTGTGGCCACTCTGGGAGAGGGCCACCCGGCCACGCTGAGGACCCTTCGGGGGCTGGCCTGGCTCCGGAAGAAGCAGGGGCGCCTTGCGGAGTCGGAGGCGGCGTTGCGAGAAGCCTTGGAGAGCAGCGGTCGCCTCAGGGTTCGGAGAAGGATTCGGTTTTTGCTGACCCCTTTTGGTCAGCATCTCAATGGGCTGAAAGTGTTGGGCTGCAGAATATGCTGCTGTAGGAAGCACTCGGAGATGGTCATAGCAGAGACACTGCGGCCGAGGTCGACGCGCAGCAGAGCAGATCTTTCCGACTGTGGAATCCCTAGCATCTCTGGCAGAGCTGCTCTCCGGCGAAAGGCGGTTTGAGGAAGCCGAGGTGCTCCTGAGAGAGGCGTTGCGAATCTGCCACGGGCTTGGCATACCCAAAACCCTAAACCCTAAACCCTAATCCCTAAACCCTAAACCCTTTCTGCTGTCTGCGGTGCATTGGCCACGCACATGCCTTGGGCGGTCGTGGTCGCCTGTTTTGATCGCTTCGCTGCTGGGCACCAGCTTGATCTCAGCTTCGCAGTGTTAAGATGCCCCCCCCCCAATTCTTGGTTTGCTTTTTCATCTCCGAAGCCATGGGAGCGCAGGAGTAAGTGTTGCTAAGTTGCACAGCCGCAGCATGCTGTATCCCCAAGAACGGCTTAGGGTTGAGGATTTGGGGCCGCGGGTGGCGCCATGAGGAAGACATGCACGCACGCAAGCACGCACGCACGCATGCCCGCCCGCCTGCTCGCGCGCGCGCGCGCGCGCGAAGAAGGAATTGTTTCTTAAAGCCCTTCTCGCTTCTTCCGACCCCCTGGCAAAGTTGAGGTCGAACTGAGCTGGGTGAGCCGCACCCGAGAACGCTGAAGCAGATCGACGACCTCGCAGTTCTGCTTCAGGTCCAGGGGCGCCTAGACGAGATGGAGCCGCTGCTCCAGAAAGCGTTGAGTGTACGCCGCGGCCTTCAGAGATGTACTCATACCCGTGTTGGGGCACGGATGCTCATGAGATGACGGTTTGCCTGTTTGAGGGTGTTACAGGGTTGCCGAGGCCGTGCGGAGCTGGGTGAAACTCACCCAGACACATTGAAGAGCCAGAACAACATGGCCATGCTGCTCGTAGCAAAGGAGCGCGTTGAAGAGGCGGAATCCCTTTTTCGCACGGTGCTGAAGAACAGTCAAAGCCTCAGTTGAGATGGTTCTGCCATGTCGGGGCTCCGACTTGTAAGAATTAGAAGTTAAGGAGAAGAGGCATCACGACAAGCGCAGGCCCTTCTTGATCGTCCCAGGTCCCAAAACTGCTGCTGCTGTGGCGGCTCCACTGATCAACTTGGCAACTCTCTGCAAAGTCCCCTGGACTGAAGATTGCGCCGTGAGCGCTCGGTCCTTGCAAGTTGGAAAGCTGTATTTTTCTCGTATGTTGGCTGGCCTTCCGTCCTCGCCACCGCAGTGCATCACAAAAATGGTGTCCCTAGCCACCCCGGGCCATTGGCCCTTGCAGGCCCTTGAGATCAGCAAGTCATGGTGGTGGTGCATCTTCTTCATAGAATCAACCGTGAGCCGGCCTTTCAGGGATGTCCCTGACTGGGTAGCTTTCCGCGCTCTTAGCCTTCAAGTCCCGCAGAGAGTGCTCATGCATCTGTCTAAGGATCAAGGGCGCCACAAGGAGGCAGAGTCCCTGTACCGTGAGGCTTTGATGTGCATCTTGGACACCGTAGCAAGTGCTGTGAGCCCTTAGCCCAAACCCTAAACCCTAAACCCTAAACCCTAAACCCTAAACCCCAAACCCTAAGCGCCATTCTTTGTGCTCTTCGGCTCTCCTTCGCTTCAGTTCCGGGTGCTGAGTTCGAGCGGAGATTGGGGACGAGCGCGATACCATGCTGGGGGCCAATATCGGACTGGCAGAAGCGCTACAAGGCCAAGGAAACTTGCAAGAAGCTGAGCCCCTCTACTGCGCATGTCTGAAAGAGTGCAGAGGCCTCAGAGATCAAGACACTGCTCCACAAAAGCCCAAAAGTAGGAAGGAGCCATGAGAAGCAGAGCTGTCTGAGGTCTCCTTAAGGTCGGCGATGCCCACATCACCGTGGTGAATCTCCGGATGAATTTGGCCAAGCTCTTCGGAGTTCAGGGGCGCCACCTGGAGGCACTGCCCTGCGTGCGGATGGCGGCCGCGGGGCTCGCGGCCATGGAGCAGCTGGAGCCGGCGCTGTGCACGAGCCGTATGGCGCTGTCGCTGAGCCGCGGCCTAAGAAGCTGGGAGACCCACATGATGCCTGACATGTGATCTGCAGACAGCTTTGGCGCTGCATGGTGTTCCCGTGGCTCTGGGCCCAGGCCGGGACCTTCTCGGCAGCTCCCATCCGGACACAGTTCGCGACTTTTTCAAGCTTCTTGATGTTTTGGATGCAGGCGTTGGCCTCTTGCAGGGTCGATGTGACGCATGATCCCTCAATCCTCATGTAGAAACCCGAAACCCGAAACCCGAAACCCGAAACCCTAAACCCTAAACCCTAAACCCTAAACCCTGATTCGCTGAATGTGGTGTTCAGTTGCCGCCCTTCCGTGGTGACAGGAGTGGGGCACTTAGAGAAGGCCGGCCGGCAGGATGAGGCCGATCAACTTCGCCGCGAGTCCTGTCAACTGATCATGTTTTCCGAGCCTTGGCTATGTTTCTTCTTCGTCTTCCTATTATTAGTATCATTTTTATTCTTCTTGTCATTATTGTCATTATTGTTGTTATTATAATCATTGTTGTTAACATTATTATGATTGTAATTATTATTGTTGTTTTTTATATTTTTGTTATTGTTATTATTGTTATTATTGCTATTATTGCTATTATTGTTATTATTGTTATTATTGTCATTTATTGTTATTATTGTTATTGTTGTCACTATTGTTATTATTGTTATTATTGTTATTATTGTTATCATTGTTATTATTGTTATTATTGTGATTATTGTTGTTATGGTTATTATGGTTATTATTGTTATTATTGTTATTATTGTTATTATTGTTATTATTGTTATTATTGTTATTATTGTTATTATTGTGATTATTTTTTTAATTTATTATTGTTATTATTGCTATTGTTGCTATTATTGCTATTATATTTGGTTCTTGTGTGGGCTGATGGGGTTTGGAACAGTTTTGTAGGGGCTTGGAAGGCATGTTGGTTCTGCGCAGTCCCTGGTCCATCTGAGGTTGAAGCCCGGCAAAAGAGACAGCCTGCTAAGACGACGTGAATTGCATTCTGTCCTGCCATAGGAGGCACAAGAACTTTCTTTAATCCTCGTTTTAAGCTGAGTACACAAAGTACGTGCTCCCAATCCTCTGCCCACCCGTGGCCATTGCGGATGTAGCCAGACGAAGCTTTAGGAGCCGCTGGCTTTTGAGCTCCGCAGTGTAGGAAGGGCGTAGCTGAGAAACGACCTTCGACCTGACAGGGAGGAAGACAAAACCAACATCGGCTCGGACCAAGCTGTGTGAGTGATGGACCGATCCACCACAAAATATACAAGGTTTAGGTGTACTATACCAATATACCCCCACAGAAGGCGCAAGTTACCTTACTCGTGCCAGAGGGCTTCGATGCCTGGCGGAGTCGAAAACAAGCAACAAAAATCTTGCCGCCCCTCCATGGCCGGCTGATTCCATGAGCTGGACAGCTTGCACCATCCGCACTTCGTGCTGGATGCTCGAATCGGCTGTAGGGGCTGGCCTCTCAAAGATTTCAGTTCGGTTTGCTTGGGAGAGCCTTCCCTCGCTTTGCCGTTCGCGGGCGCTCGTGGTCTTGTGCACTACGACCATATGGAACAGATCCAGCCGAATGACTGAATCGCCAAAACATGGGTGGCGATCACATAGATCTTGAAGTAGATGTCTTCGCTCTTCAGCTCATCCTCCTTTGCTTGCCCCGCAGGCACGCCAAAGAAGGAAAACAGACACCCCATTGCCAAGATTGTCGCGAGAGGCATGCCTTTATGACTAGCTCTGTCACTCTCGAGCCGGAAGAAGCTTTTGTGCCCATGTCCGCCCAGTTGAATTGCATAGGTTTTTCCTCAACCTTGAGCTCGTGGATATGGACCTTTTGGAAGGAACAGGATATTTGTTTGTACACAGTCTCGTATCGTGTTTCGCCTTCCCGGAGCCTTCTTCAAACCCCTATCCCAGATCTGAGCAGTCATGCGTCCGCTGCTCTCTGCCTCTGCAGAGCTCTCAAAGCAATCACGGGACTAATTACGGACTGCTTGGCGCACAATGAGTGGCCAAAGCGCTCTGCAGAGCTTGACATTGACTTGCGGGTGTTCTTGCAGGCGCCAAAAAATCTGAGAATCGGTAAGAGCACTGTCACCTTGGGGCCTGTCTTAAGGCTTAGTCTCAAACGACTCGAGCGCTCGTCCAGAAAGAAGGCGCCACTGCCGGGCTTTCGCCCGAGCCTCCCCATTTTTTGCAGTAGCTGCTGCATCATTCGAATGGATCCTCCAGAGTGGTGTTCTGCTGAACACGTCCCTGTCATGGCCATTGATCTCCTGAGCAACGCATCTGCTACGCACTCCATTTGGATCTCCGGGCACCCATCCACCCCAACGACTTCGCACTATCTTGAGTCGTCTTTGCTTGACACCATGCTCTTGCATTTTGTTCAACTCTCTCGCTCTGGCAACCTCACCTTGCCTATGGGGAGCGGATGGCCTGCGCACTCGGCAATCGTAACTCGTCAACGCTCCCAGCTGAAGGGCAATTAGTGATATCACTGGACCACGGAAAGATGTCACCTTCCGTCTCGAGCGCCTTCTTGTAGCGCATCTCTTACGCACTGGCCAGGGTACGCGCTTGGCGAGATTTGGACTTCCAGAGTTTGCTGAACAAGCTGAGTGGCACATCGCCGAAGGTACTGAAACATCTGAAGTCTGGACTGAAGGAGCTGAATTTACCGTTTTTTGAGATCATCTGCCATTTGATTTTCGCCTTTAGTCAGCATGAGCGGCCATTTTGTAGTACTATGCTTCTTTGACAGGAAATCGCCGTGCTTTCGTCGCTTCCTGCAAGTGCCCGAAGAGATGCAAGGCTGCCAAGGATGCCAGTAGCTCGCCGACGCTGCGGCCCACTGCGACTTCCCCTGCTGGTCAAAGAAGTATGGCGCACCGGGCGCACCCCAATCGAAAGCCACCGGGCCTGTTCTCTGGGGTTGACTGCATCCCAACCCGCTACAACCACTAACCCATCTTGATCGCTCAGCTTCAGGGGGACACTTTGTACTCCATCTCTGAAGACGTGGCCTCGATGTATAGCAGCGTCAAGATATCAGCTTCCCAACTTTGCGAAACAAAACCAAGCTTGCCTAGCAACTCGATAAACTTCTTAGTCTGAACCTCATACTTACCAATCTCCTCGCGCCTTGGACAGGCCCAGCAGCTTAACAGCAAAATCCAGCTTACAGCCTAAGAAGGCAACCTGTGGCCCCCTTAGAATTTCTTCCAGGCGAAACGTTAGGATGTAAAGCATCAGCCACACGATTGCCTTGATGTGCTTGCGATGTCCGAAGAAGTTTGAATGGAGATCGTCCACGCAAGACTAAAACGGCTTCAGAAACAGGAAGAAGCGAAGCCTACCCTAATTTGAACAAGTTGTGATTAAGCAAAGCTCGTCCTACCAAACGACCCACTATCCCTTGAAAAGCTTCTACACCTTATTCACAAAGATGGTCACTGTTCGCCTCGGCCCTGCGGGCTGGGAGTCCCCAGTCCTGCTAATGAGCACCCGGCGATGTGCTGCCGACACACCTCCAGTGCAAAGGGAACCTCTACCTGCTCCTGTGGCTGCCTAACCGGGTTTAGGGTCTAGGGTTTAGGGTTTAGGGTCAGGCTACCTCACCTGTCCCCGGCACGGCCAAAACGTTGCTCTGCTGAATTGACTGATTGACATGCACTCGATGGGTGCCATCATGCATGGATGGCTCCCATCTGCTATCCAGGAGACCCTAAACCGCCCCCCCCCCCCCCCCAAAACAGATGTGCACTGGACAGGAAAATGAAAAAATGCACTGGACTAGCAAGTGTATGGGCTTTGGACCCCAAGCATCAACGAGACCGATCGGGACCTCCTTTTCGGGAGGACTGATCGACAGACATCTTGCCTTGGCGCAAGAATTGCTAGATTCCGGCGTGTTTCGTGCCCCTCCTATTCGTCCTACGATGGTCCTGCTGACATGTTGTTCGTTGATTCTGAAGACTGAATTTAGGCTCCGTTCAGCCTGCAAGTTGTTCTACAAGCATTGCAAACAGCGGATAAACAAAGGATTCTGCGTTCATCCTCGCTTTTCGGGCACTACGCCAGCGCCCGGTTTTTGTGACGTTGTTGAGGGCAGCGTGGTTCGCAGGCAGCGCATCTCATTTAGCTGCAATTCTTCCTTTTTGCGTGCGCTCCGGCAACCGCCGCTCCCAGACCTCAAGCCCGGCAACCCCTTCTGCCAAAATCCCGGCAACGTCTCGTTGATTGTTTCAGCTGGCTCAAATATACAGACCGTCGAAACATGATGCAAAGCCGTACGTACGCACACACACACACACCTCGCAACAGCGGTGGAGTGAGGTGTAGCAGCAGCAGCAACAGCAGCGGCACAATACATGACTTCATGGTTGTATTCTCCTACACTCATGTTCTGACATTAGCGCCCATCCGAGTGTTTGTGCGTGCTATGGCAATGGCCAGTGATCTGAGATTCCAAGAGCTGGAGGCTTTCAAAAGGAGCTTAAGTTCTTGCGATGTCACCCTAAGCTTCTGGCAGGACACGAGTGTTTCCCTTTCACGAGTTTAGGCTTGAAGGATGTATGGTTTAGGGTTCGAGAATTTTGCATGTTGACATTGGCTTTCAGTGGCAGAGTCCTTTCTTGGGCTTCAGTTTGCAGGTGCGCAGAGGATGTTGAGCAAAACTGAAGCTGGTCGCGGTTGTTATTGTCTGGTGTGAAATGGCACACCCACAGCAAAATCGAAAGAACAGCAAACAGCAAACAGCAAACAGCAAACAGCAAACAGCAAACAGCAAACAGCAAACAGCAAACGGCAAACGGCAAACGGCAAACGGCAAACGGCAAACGGCAAACGGCAAGCGGCAAGCGGCAAGCGGCAAACGGCAAGCGGCAAACGGCAAACGGCAAACGGCAAACGGCAAAAGGCAAACAGCAAGCAGCAAGCAGCAAGCAGCAAGCAGCAAACAGCAAACAGCAAACAGCAAACAGCCAACAGCGAACAGCGAAAAGCGAACAGCGAACAGCGAACAGCGAACAGCGAACAGCGAACAGCGAACAGCGAACAGCGAACAGCGAACAGCGAACAGCGAACAGCGAACAGCGAACAGCGAACAGCGAACAGCGAACAGCGAACAGCAAGCAGCAAGCAGCAAGCAGCAAGCAGCAAGCAGCAACAGCAACAGCAACAGCAAGAGCAAGAGCAAGAGCAACAGCAACAGCAACAGCAGCAGCACCAGCACCAGCACCAGCACCAGCTCCAGCCGCAGCTGCCGCCGCAGCAGCAGCAACCGCAGCAGAAACAACGTACACTACGGAATGCTCTGTTCGACGATGGTCGACCATTGTACGTTGTACCATCGCAGCAGGCGCGCCTGAGCCGAGTGGAGCAGGCTCTCAGCAACTCGGCTCAAGGACTTCATGTCTACGGCATGTCGCAGAGCCTCGTAGGAGATTAAGTAAATCTAAGCCCCTGTCAAAACTTCTACACTCTAGAGTGACATCAGAGTCGAGGGTTTTGGGTTCGATTTGGTTCAGCACCCAGGAGCACAAAGGGTCAGTTTCTGATATATGAACATTACCCTAAACCCTAAACCCGAAACAATAAACCCTAAACCCTAAACCCTAACCGTGGGCTAGAAATCCTCACAGGCCCTAAGCCCCAAACCCTAACCCTAAACCCCAAACCCTAAACCCTAAATTCCCACCCGGCCTGCTTAGGCCGTACCCACCCTTTTCTAGGGTGCCTGGACCCAGAAGATACCCGGCAGTGATGGACACCTTTACTGGATGGACAATGGGTGGGGAGAAGAACCCAGCACCAATGAAAATGTTGGATTACATTGACAAGAGATGCCTTCGCGTGACATGCCGTCCCCCCACACCCCCTGGGTGTGTAGGGGCGCCATTTACGCATGTAAGTGCCGCTGCGCGGCGAGACGCCCTAAACCCTAAACCCTAAACCCTAAACCCTAAACCCTAAACCCTAAACCCTAAACCCTAAACCCTAAACCCTAAACCCTCAAGCCTAACTCAGGGAACTTGGAAGGGGCCCTTCAGCACGCCTTTCAGCTCTTCCTGAACTTTCGGGACCAGGAAAGTTTAGGGTTTAGGGTTTAGGGTTTAGGGTTTAGGGTTTGGGAGCTGCACCCACAAAAGGGTTCATAACACCTTACAAGTCACCTATACACTCTGTACCCTACGGCCCCTAGCCCTAAACCTCAAACCCTACACCCCAAGCCCTAGACCGTACACAGCAGCATACTCCCAGCCCTAAACCCGAAACCCGAAGCCAAAAGAGGCGTGATGCAGCGCAGCGAACAGGCGAATGCAGCGCAGGGCGAAGCCCTTCGCTGGGACAAGCTGCAAAGAGAGCTTCTGGTCAAGACGGGCTCAGGCTTGGGGTGTCTTGGTGTAGGGTTTAGGGTTTAGGCTGTTTAGGGTTTGGAGTGTTTAGGGTAGGGTTTAGGGTTTAGGTTGTTTAGGGTGTTTTGGATGCCGTTGACGCCCCCTAGACCCCAAGCCCATGTGCCCAAAATCATCCCGGCGAGAGTTTGGGATCTTGGTCGTATTCGTGGATGCCATGTTCTTTGCTTCACGCTGTCCTTCAGTGTGCTTGAGGTTTCAAAGGTCCACGGATCTGGATGTTGTGATGTTATGTTGGCTGGGATTCGGGGATGCTGTGCGGAGGCTCTGTATGAGGGGACCGGCTGTGCAGTGCTTCGACTACTGCACATCTTTTTTGGCATATCCCTACACCCAAGCCCTAAACCCGAAACTGAAACCCAAAACCCAACCCCAAAAACCCAAAACCCCAAAGCCCCGAAACCCCCCAGAGCCCAAAACCCCCAGAGGCCCTAGACCTTAATCCTCAGGTGACCCTCTCAATTCCCTATGAAGAACCAGGGGGTTTGTAGGCTGGAGGATGGGACAAAACCCAAACCCCCCAAAACCACCAACACCCCCAAACCCTCATCACCCTAAACCCTAAACCCTAAACCCTAAACCCTAAACCCTAAACCCTAAACCCTAAACCCTAAACCCTAAACTCTAGACCCTAAACCCTAAACCCTAAACCCTAAACCCTAAACCCTAAACCCTAAATCCTATATAAACCCTAAACCCTAAACCCTCTCAAGTCCTTTAAGGTTGGAGGATGGGGACAGCATATCCTCCAGCGAGCTCCTGGAAGTCCAAGCCGAGCATTTCGGGGGGTCGCTCTTCACTTCCTCAGGGGAAGAGCTGCCCGGACTGAGAATTCTTGTCGTAAGAATATGTGAATAATGACAAAGTAGTGTAGCAAGAGTATATCAGTATTCATATAGTAGTATAACAGTACAACGAGATAAGAGTTGTACAGACATATCGGATTCGGGATCCTGCGAGTGCTTTGTTCGATTTTGCGGCCATCATGTCGTGCGATGGTACGATGACGAAGCCACACCCTAGAGTTCTGTCCTTGCCGCTGCTTCTGCTGGAAGGCCTGAACTCCCACTGAGGCCTGACCACTCTCCTGTGATGAGGGTATGTATGTATGTATGCATGCATGCATGCAGCTGCCCTTTGCAGTCATGCTATTGTTGTTTGCTAGTGCGAGTGAGATGACTTTCAACTCCTAATTGCACTGTCGCTACTGCGATGTGGACGCCCAGGATTCGTGCCGGTGTTGCGACGCATGGTCCTTGTTATGAGCTACAGCACTCTGTTTGGGATGCCTGCCTGTGGATAGGCCTGCCAGTGCTGAGCAAGTGGGATTCTGTGATGGCAACACTGCTGCTGCTGCTCAACATATTCGCGCAAGTTGGGTTCGTGTTAGTGGTGCAAATCGACATGCTGGAAGATGTCCTGACATCAGAGAAGCTGGACGAGCTCCTTCTCTTCAGAGAGCTCTGGTCGCATAGTAGGCGTGCTTTATACAAACTTTGCGTTGATGTGTGTATACCCAATCTCGAGTTTCTAAACAACTCGACTTGCCTGGGTGATAGAGGGGGGAAACCCTAAACCCTAAACCCTAACCCTAGACCCTAGACCCTAGACCCTAGACCCTAAACCCTAACCCTAAACCCTAAACCCTAAACCCTAAACCCTAAACCCTAAACCCTAAACCTCTCTATCATAATGAATTTAAACCCTAATTCAAAAGTGGGCAACGGTGATTTTCGGCCTCAAAAGTGGGCAGCGGTGACTTTCCTGGCCTCAAAAGTGGGCAACGGTGACTTTCCTGGCCTCAAAAGTGGGCAACGGTGACTTTCCTGGCCTCAAAAGTGGGCAACGGTGACTTTCCTGGCCTCAAAAGTGGGCAACGGTGACTTTCCTGGCCTACGGTGACTTTCCTGGCCTCAAAAGTGGGCAACGGTGACTTTCCTGGCCTCAAAAGTGGGCAACGGTGACTTTCCTGGCTTCAAAAGTGGGCAACGGTGACTTTCCTGGCCTCAAAAGTGGGCAACGGTGACTTTCCTGGCCTCAAAAGTGGGCAACGGTGAATTTCGGCTTCAAAAGTGGGCAATGGTGAATTTACTTTTCCACGAGTTTTTTCAAGGTTTTTCAAGGTTTTTCAGAGTTTTTCAAGGTGAACCAATGTTTTTCAGGATGTTTCAGGGCAATTAACCCTCAATGCCCCCCCCCCCCCCCCGGCGACCTTTTCACAGCCTAGTTTTGGTCAAGGGGGGGTCGTGTTTGTCAATTTTAAAGGCAAAAAAATCTTCGGAGACCCCCCCTTGCCTCAAACTCCGACCCCCCCTTGAGAGGGAAAGTTTGCCTCCAAAAGCACCCCAAATGAGGGGGACCCAGGATCGGCCCGGGTCCCAGTTAAAAATGCGATTTTTTAGTACTGAAGTCGACTTCTGGGTGGCCTCTCGTTGTCTGGGTGTTTGACCAAAACCGATGCTTCACCGGTTTCAAGAATTTCAAGTTTTTCAGGTTTTTTCAAGGTTTTTCAGAATATTTCAATATTTTTTAAAGTTTTTCAAAGTTTTTCAATGTGTTTCAGATTTTTTCTCTCAATTCTGATGAAGGACCGCTCCTGCGACCTTTTCACAGCCTAGTTTTAGTCAAGGGGGGGTCGCATTTTTCAATTTTAAACCCCAAACTCCGACCCCCCCTTGGGAGGGAAAGTTTGCCTCCAAAAACACCCCAAATGAGGGGGGGACCCCAGGATCGGCCTGGGTCCCTATTAAAAATGCGAGTTTTTAGTACTGAAGTCGACTTCTGGGTGGCCTCTCGTCTTCTGGATTTTTGACCAAAACCGAGCCTGCACCAATAGGGGCTTCTAAACCGTAGGGTTTAAGGCCCTAAGAGCGTAAAGGGCCTATTGTGGGCCTTAGATTAGATTTCGGGTTTTGGGTCCGTTAAAAACTAACTACTGGGAATGTATTGAGTGAACTTTGTATTTTCTCAATGTTATGGGTTTCTTGGGTGGGTGGGTGGGTTTTTTTTCCAACGCTTCACAAGCTGCTTGACTAGTGAATGCTCGGACTTGAGATGCTGAGCCCTAAACCCTAAACCCTAAACCCTAAACCCTAAACCCTAAACCCTAAACCCTAAACCCTAAACCCTAAACCCTAAACCCTAAACCCTGAACCCTGAACCCTGAACCCTGAACCCCAAATCCTAAACCCTAAACCAGCAAGGCCAACATCGCCCACGACGCACGCTACGCAGATGTGGGGGGCGGCCGGTCTTTGGCGCGCCGGGTTTGCTCCCAAGATGAGTCGCTGCAACTTGCAAACTCACAGACCAGCCCCCAGAAGCGAAAAAGGGGCAGGGTTTAGGGTTTAGGGTTTAGGGTTTAGGGTTTAGGGTTTAGGGTTTAGGGTTTAGGGTTTAGGGTTTAGGGTTTTGACCAGACCCCAGGAGTGAAAAAAGGGATCTTCGCATTCGGGGTTTTCCGAAAATCGTGTTTTTTTTTGTTTATTTTTTTGGGGGGGTCCCTTTCTAAGGGGATTGTATTCTATTTGGGGAATCAGAGGGGTACCCCTCAAGTTTGGGAAGTGCCCATGTGTTGATGTGGGCTAGAATTCCTCACAGGCCCTAAGCCCCAAACCCTAACCCTAAACCCCAAACCCTAAACCCTAAATTCCCACCCGGCCTGCTTAGGCCGTACCCACCCTTTTCTAGGGTGCCTGGACCCAGAAGATACCCGGCAGTGATGGACACCTTTACTGGATGGACAATGGGTGGGGAGAAGAACCCAGCACCAATGAAAATATTGGATTACATTGACAAGAGATGCCTTCGCGTGACATGCACACCCCCTGGGTGTGTAGGGGCGCCATTTACGCATGTAAGTGCCGCTGCGCGGCGAGACGCCCTAAACCCTAAACCCTAAACCCTAAACCCTAAACCCTAAACCCTAAACCCTAAACCCTAAACCCTAAACCCTAAACCCTAAACCCTAAACCCTAAACCCTAAACCCTAAACCCTAAACCCTAAACCCTAAACCCTAACCCTAAACCCTAAACCCCAAGCCCTAAACCCAAGTAGCTGGAAGCCAAGAAGGCTTGGTCACCGACTTGGCCAGCTACAGCGCCATTGGCCCGGCTTTGGCGTTGTTGGCCATTGGCTGCTGGCTCAGCACCACCCTGAAGGACTCACAGGGTTTAGGGTTTAGGGTTTAGGGTTTAGGGTTTAGGGTTTAGGGTTTAGGGTTTAGGGCTTAGGATAACTGTACTTCTAACAACAAATTGGCACTTAAGGGGCTGGTATAAGTACAGTTAGAATTGGTTAATAGGTACCATGAACCTCCCAGGAGGCCTTCAACGTCCTAGAGTTCTTCGGGGCAATCCATTCTTATCCGCTTGGAGACACCACAAACGTCGCGACTGCCGCAGACGAAGATGCCTTGGACGAGAGGCCCCTTGCCATCTCCCAGTTGTCCCGAGGGCGCAAGTATATGCTGTTGACCCTTGTGGCCTTCCCTCGCATGATGGTTGCTTGCAGCCTGATGGTCACAGGAACCCGGTACCTTGCAAACACCCTCAACCTATCTGACCTTATCTTGAATGCTGTTGCCCTGGCCTTCATCTTGGATCTGGATGAGCTGATCGAGTCTGCGTTCATGCCGCGAAGGCCCCGGTTTCTACTGGACAAGCTCGGCACACTCCCGATTTCTCGGCCTTTCTTCCCAGGGTTGGAGCACCTCAAGGTGGGGAAAAATGAGCGTATGTGGAACGCCCTTCAGATCGCACTCCTGATTGTCGGCCTCATCCTGTCCTGGTACTTGTTGCTGCAGCCTCTCCACCAGACAGTGGACCTTGCACTGGACATCCTCTGCAGTGGGAGGCAAGACTTCATCTACGCAGTGAACGCGGCCACCGGGATCATCGAAGCCGCGCCCACTTTCCCGAAAGAGGGTGCGATGAGGCTTTCTTCGCAGCAGGAGAACGTGCTCCAGCTCGCAAAGCTCGAGCTGCTCGCTGTGCAGGGCTTAGGAGGCCTCTACACCGGCTTTGTGAATCAGCAAGGCGGCTGGACGACTCTGGACTCGGACGACACACCCACATATGATCGAATCCAGCAGGTGATTCTGCTCGATAAGAGCACGGTTGCTATAGCTGCAAACAACTTGCCATGCACCGATTCCGCTTTCTCCCCACATTTGGTGCGTTCCCGGCTGCGCAGCATCACCAACGGTCAAGTGGACAGTTGTGCCGCTCTGAAGTCGCAAGATCAGCTGTGTGCAGCCTCTTGGTTTTTAAACTTCGAAAATCTTTCCCAGCTTTCCATCCACTGTAGACCTAAGCCCGCCGGACGGAAGCCTAGAAGAGAGTCCGAGTTCCGAGCTGTGGAGGTCTTCAACCTCAGCAGCGTGCGAGCACTGTGCCCTCAGACGTGCGGCTGTGACAACCCTCTGGAACCCGCAGCTGGTGCCTTCGCCACCGTCCCCTTCGGCTGCCCGAAGAGATGCCACTTCGCCTCAGCACAGATCCTGCCCTAAACTTCCTCAACCCCAACGAAACCCGAAGCCCGAAACCCTAAACCCTAAACCCGAAACCCTAAACCCCAAACCCGAAACCCTAAACCCTAAACCCTAAACCCTAAACCCTAAACCCTAAACCCTACCGACAGCCCAGAGCACAGGTGCACCGCTCAGGGAGGAGTCGCCCAAGCTCCGGCAGGCCCCATGCAGGGACTGGACTACCAGGGAGCTCTTGGCCAGCGAGTCTCGGTACCCCCTCTATCCCTAAACCCTAAACCCTAAACCCTGAAAAACTGTTCTATTCTTTTTGTGAGGACATCTTGTACAGCTCCTCCCTCTTTTTTAGGGCTTGAGAGGATCATATTCAGGTAGGCCCTTGGGATGTGTTATGTACTTTCCCTCTTTTGGATTTCAGAGGCTCATGTTCCCTAAACCCTAAACCCTAAACCCTAAACCCTAAACCCTAAACCCTAAACCCTAAACCCTAAACCCTAAACCCTAAACCCTAAACCCTAAACCCTAAACCCTCTTTCAGAGGCTTCCATAAGGGGCCATCCTAGGAGTACATCCGGCGCTACCTCACGGGAGCCTTCACGTACCTTGCTGATGGTTGGGTAACATTTTTAGATTTCTAAGGGTACTTAAAAACCAAATAAGGAATATAGATTTCTAAGGGTACTTAAATCAAACAAGGAATATAGATTTCTAAGGGAACTTTAAACCAAATAAGGAATGTAGGTTTTAAGTTTTTGAGATGATCCCAACCATGAACTAGGTACGGCCTGATGACGGAGCAGACGTGGCTGACCTCCAAGCTGGTGTACGAGGAGACCCTGAGGCGCCGGTTCTACGACTTGCTTCCGGGCCCGAACAAGACGGCGGCTCGGCCGTGGTGTGGGGTTTAGGGTTTAGGGTTTAGGGTTTAGGGTTTAGGGTTTAGGGTTTAGGGTTTAGGGTTTAGGGTTTAGGGTTTAGGGCTTCGGGTTTAGGGTTTAGGGTTTAGGGTTTCGGGTTTAGGGTTTAGGGTTTAGGGTTTAGAGTTTACGGAGGACCTCTTCTTTCTTTCCATCTTTTCTGCTCTGTTTCTTGATGTGGAAGCTCATGGCAATTGAGTGCCTGAGGGTTGAAGTGCAAATGTACTTCTTCACCAATCATAACTGTACCTACAACCCTCTTATCAGCCCCTTAAGTGCCCCAATAGGTTTATAAGTACAGTAATAAGTACAGTTCTAGCCCTAAACCCTAAACTCCAAACCCTAAACCCTAAACCCTAAACCCTAAACCCTATAATCATTGGTTAAAAAGCACCCTGAACCCCCAACCAGGAGTCTTTGCAGAGGGCCGCCGAGTACTATGCGACAGGAGGTTGGCACCGGGACGTGATGGAAGGTAAGTTCGAGCTTGGGCTGAACATCCCACACCCGCGAGGCGGGGAAAGACGACCAAGGTTTAGGGTTTAGGGTTTAGGGTTTAGGGTTTAGGGTTTAGGGTTTAGGGTTTAGGGTTTAGGCTAGAGCACTGTAGTATGCTATAGTCTACACTAGTATACTGTAGTATACTACAGTAGAATTACTCTAGTATATACTAGTTTTCTGGGCATCAAGGCCAGTTTGCTTACATGTCTGGCATCTTCACAGCACGTCCGACTGTAGTGTTGTTCCAAAAGTACCCTAAACCCTAAACCCTAAACCCTAAACCCTAAACCCTAAACCCTAAACCCTAAACCCTAAACCCTAAACCCCTGAAGGTTTGGAGGGCTGCGCCTTCTTCGCCTCCGAGGAGATCGTCGAGCTGGGTGGCGGCAACATCTGCACACCAAGGGCAGAGCCTTAGGGATTCTTTGGGAATAGTTTTTTAAAGATTTTGGGTACCGTACTTCGTAAGAAACAGCCAAAATCACAATTTCAGTCTTACATTTTCGAGCACTGTAGTTCCTCAGAAACAGCGCAAATGACAAATTTAGTTTTTTTGGGTAGTGTAATTCCTAAGAAACAGCGAAAATTGCTGTAATTCCTCAATTTCAGTCTAGGAGCTGGATGTCTTCCTATCACTCCGCCCCCAGTGTCCGGTGACGTGCGGCTGCCATGCCGACTGGCAGGAATGTCCGGGAACCTGCCCGCAAAGCCTGTAAACAGCGGCACAAGGGTTTAGGGTTTAGGGTTTAGGGTTTAGGGTTTAGGGTTTAGGGTTTGGGGGAGCGATTGATGTGAGGAGCGCCGTGTGCTTCTGTGCGATGTTCATTGTTTCGATGAGTGGCTGCCAAAGCCCGCAGCTCGACAAGTCATGAGATCGACAAAAAGATCCGACTCCCATGAGGCTCAGCCCTGTGAACATCATGTAGAGAAGCTTGGATGAAGAGCGGGTATACATGCGCTTCCTAAATATGTATGCCCTTCATACAATGTTAACCTGAGGAATAATGTTGAAAGATCAGTTACGGGTGTGATTCGAAGGCGAGTGCGGCATCATCTGCGCGGTTTACAACCACAATGTTGAGCATGTGTGTAGTTGCCCTGCCACAGTAGATGCTCTGCAACGGAATGTCCGATCCAGCCGCTTTGAACCAGAGACTGGGACCAAAACCCCCGCGATGAAGAAGAAGTCAAGCTTGAAGCCTCAGGCGCTCAGCATGCAGAGACAGCGCTAATGCACGCGTTTGCATGTGCCCGTGCCAATGGACTTCCGAAATTCCACGAGCCGCTTGGATAGTCAGTCCACGGCGTGTTGTCGTGTTTCTCTTTGGTTCGCGCGACACGTTGGGGGGGGGGTATACAGTGTAGAAACACTCAGCCCCAAAAACCTGCACAAGCCTCTGCAGGGCCTCAGACTTGTGTACCCTAAACCCTAAACCCTAAACCCTAAACTGTAAACCCTAAACCCTAAGCCCTAAACTCTAAAAAGTCATCTCACTCCTTGCTCCAAGGCATTGCCTTTTCGCGCGGGCGCCACAGAGAGTTCGGCCGCTGGCTGCAGGAGGCCGCAGCTGCTTTACAGAGTCCCTGATCTCTTGGGTCGATATTTTATGAGGGTTTAGGGTTTAGGGTTTGGGGTTTAGGGTTTAGGGCTTAGGGTGTAGGGTGAGATGCTCTTGCAAAGCACTATACTATGTGTGTTTATGCGTATGTAGCTCGTGGCTGTATGTGTATTTGCATATGTCGGTGTGAATGTATGAGTACGTTCATATGTAATGTACATGTACATGCGAAGGTGTACGCAAATGTTTATGCAGATGTATATGCAAAATTATGCAAATGTCTATGCAAATGTATGTGTGGATGTATGTGTAAGTTCATATGCAAATGTATATGTAAACGCATATGTACATGCATATGCAAATGTATATGCAATGAAGATGTACGTCGACAGGCAGGTCCTTTTGCATATATGAGTGTCGTGTTGTGATCAGGGCCATTGGACCCGAGTTGGGCTGGCATGGCGCTGTCAAACATGCGAGTCTGGTGCAGATGGTCGTCCGATTTAGCACCCTACGCCCAGAAAACACCCTAAACCCTAAACCCTAAAACCTAAAGCCTAAACCCTAAACCCTAAACCCCCACAACTTTGACATGAGGTGATGCGGTCCATGTGGCAGAAGCTGCAAGCCTAGGCGCCAATACCCGGGAAGAGGGTTTAGGGGGGTTTTCTGAAGCGCTGGCTGGGAGACACGTGATGAAAGTTTGTCGCGTTTCATGTAGCCATGCCTTGGCAATTTGCAAGCCTCATGAACCCTCCCAAAGCTGAAGCCTTCACCCTAAGCCCAAAAGTGCTCGAGACTCACAACCCTCAGCCCCATGTGGGTGTTTCCAAAAACTTGAGTTGCTTCTTCGGAAGAAATCTTATTGGGGGCATAGAAGGGGTCCCTTTTTGTGGGGGAAGCGCCCAAGCCGTAAAATCTGCGGCAACCACTTGGAGGTTCATGGTACATATTAACCAGTCAAGACTGTGCATATAACCCAATTGTGAGCGCCTTACCTCCCCCTAATATGGTTATAAGTACAGTTAAAACCCTAAACCTTAAACCCTAAACCCTAAACCCTAAACCCTAAACCCAAAACCCTACTTGGTTAATAAGTACCATGAACCTCCAAGCAGGGGCGCTTGCGCTTCTTGTCGCGCGGCGCCTGTCGCTGCGCCGGCGGCAGCACCGCCGCCAAGACGTGCTGGAGGCAAGTGACAGGGGCTCTCTTTTGAGGTTTAGGGTTTAGGGTTTAGGGTTTAGGGTTTAGGGTTTAGGGTTCCGGGTGAAGGGTTTCGAGCTGTGATTTTGTGCCCCCGCATCACCTATTTCATTACTGTGTTGCTTTTTGAGCTGCCGCATGTAGTTGCCGCGTTCTACAGGGGACTGAAAACCCTCAAACCCTCTGAGCCCTAAACCCGGAGCTCCAAACCCTGAGCACCAAAGCCCCAAACCTCCAACCCTGAGCCCTAAACCCTGACCTTAACATGCCTGGACTTGAAGCTGCAGTTTGTTTGGGGTTTAGGGTTTAGGGTTTGGGGTTTAGGGTTTAGGGTTTAGGGGGTTTAGGGTTGAGGGGGTTATGGCGCAGGCTTTTCTTCGCAGTCTCTCCACCTGGCAGCGAACACTGGCAGGCTCCTCCTGGGTTTGTCAACGAATGGTGCCACTTTGGCGCATGGCGTTCCGGGTTTAGGGTTTAGGGTTTAGGGGTTAGGGTTTAGGGTTTAGGGGGGAGAACCCTCCAAAGCCTTCACATCTGGGGGTTCCGAAATTAGGGGTACCTTATTGGGGAATCCTGCTAGTTGGGGGTTTATAGTGGTCCCTCATTTCGTAAACCCCCATATGAGCCCCGTGACACCTCCCTAAACGCGCTTGAGCTCCTGGAAGTCTGTTTTGCACAACCGACAAACCCGCTACAGATGCAACACTGCAGAGTGAACCCCAAACAAACCCTGAACCCTAAACCCTAAACCCTAAACCCTGAAAACCCCCACTCTCGAGACCCTTCCAGGGCGCGAGGCTCTTGAGCTACGTCCGCTTGCAACTTTCGGTGTGGAGGTTCGAGGCACGGCTGCTAAACCTCCAACAACCCGTGAGTAACGGAACTAAACCCTACACCCTAAACCCTAAACCCTAAACCCCAAACCCTAAACCCCAAACCCCAAACCTTCTAAACCCCAAACCTCAAACCCTAGCCCTGAAATCTTTATAGGATCCTGACGACCATTGCTTCATTGCGGAACTTTGGAAGTGCTGGGAAGCTGGCTGCGAAGATGCTCTTTTGAGGGTATAAGGGTTGTCGGGGTTTAGGACTAGAGTCCAGGGTTTAGGCTTTAGGCTTTAGGCTTTAGGGTTTAGGGTTTAGGGCTACGGTTTGGGGTTTTGGGTTCGGTTCTGGGTTTAGGTTTTTGCCTTTGGACTAGATATGGCTAAGGGTCTGTTTTGCTTGCCAAGATTGGCACCCTCGTCGCAGTCTGCCACCCATCATAAGCAAGAGAGTCTAGACCCTCAAGACTTTAGCAACTTCTCGCCCTTCCCCTATGCCATGCTCGTGGTTTCAGAGTTTTGGATCCCCCTCGGGAGCCTTGTCTCCCTCCCAAGACTCTAAGATAAAGGTGGCCTAAACTTCGGTGCCCAAAAGAGTATCGAACAGCTCCAAAAAGGCCTCCAACCCCTAAATGATTCCTCAATGAGTTAGGCGCTAAAGCACGAATCTTCCCAAACCTTTAACAGCTATAGCACTGGACCCCGAGACCCTATACCCTAAACCCTAAACCCTACACCCTAAACCCTAAAACCTAAACCCTAAACCCTAAACCCTAAACCCTAAACCCTAAACCCGAAACCCGAAACCCGAAACCCGAAACCCCAAACTTAAGCCCTAAATCCGTGGCTCCGACCCCGAAGAGCCGCGCCCGGAGGCTTGGACCTGAGCAGCGCGGCTCTGCCTGAGGAGCAGATGCGCGAGTTGTGCCGCCGCGGCACTCTGCCGGTTTAGGGTTTGGGGTTTAGGGTTTGGGGTTTGGGTTTAGGGTTTAGGGTTTAGGGTTGAGGGTTTCGGGCTCAGGCAGTAGAACTTCGAAGCCGCTAGAACTCCTAAGCCTTAAGGCCTCCACTCCGAAGCCCTAGACCCAGGTCCGAACCTTTTCTT